GGGGGAGGCCGCTCCCCGCCTCGGCCCGCGACGTGGAGCCCGCGGGGAGCTGCGGGGCGGCCGCCGCCTTCCCCCCGCTCCCGAGGGCGCCGCGGCCGCCGCTGCGYGAGCGCGGCTGGAGCGGGAGCCGGGCGAGCTGAACGCGACCCCCTTGGGCGCCATTCTGCCCCCAAAACCCGCCACAGGGGATTTCAGTTCCACCGGGGGAAAATTAGAATCGTTAAGCCTGTCACACCCATCTCCTTCATTTCCTTCTTGTATTAGCAWGCCTAGTTCTGGTCCAGTGAAAAAGGCAACACCGATTTCCATGGAAGACCATTTGCAGCTCCATCATCCATGTGCTTCCACCTGGTGATTTTAGATAGATCTTTCTGTTCCCTAGATAGCCAGTATAGCAGTTACCCCATTTGTACTAGAAAAGCAAAGAACTCRGCAGTTACCCCATTTGTGCTAGAAAAGCAAAGGACTCTGTCTTTCAAGACACTGGAAGAGTCACACAAATCTGTGGAGAWGGTCTTAAAACTTTGGAATCCACTCGAGCATTGGCTTGGAGCTTTAAAGTTGCACTATCAAGTTAAGTAAATAGAATGGCAGTACCATCAAGACTGCCGGTACCATCCCCAATACAAAGAATCGAAATCTGAATTAATGATCCAATTTTTTGGCCCTGAGCCTGTGCCCCACATGATTATCAAAAGTGGGAGAAGGGAAAAAGAATCCCACTGCAGCTGCTTAGGGGCAACCTGTTGACAACATCTGAATCTGCCCAAGTTGTATCTTCCAAACGCACTCATAAACATTGTTTTGGAAAAGAGCTCATAACCRCACTTTTAGCCATGGAGCTTGTTTTGAAAAACCTTGCCATTTAGTTAATGAAAACTGGGCAAGTTTTGAAAAAGTAGCTCACAGAGTGGAACTCTTGAATTCTAGTGCACCGCAAAAAATGTTTCCACGATGTTCAACAACATGCGGTGTTTGCTCTCTCCTGGTGCATCATCTGATCCCCCTGACCTACCCCAGTAAAATTGCAGTGTTTACAGCCAGGGTAAATACAGTTAAGAATGAGCTTACGCTGAGCTTGGGCCGAACAAAGCAGCAGGGAGACTTTTATCTGTTTAAAGGCCTCTCTGTACATAATCTGATAGCCTGTAATGAAAGAACTATTCTTTTCTGGATAGATGTTATTTTTTGAAAAAGTATCATTTTTTGAAAAAGTGTTTTGAAGTGGAAAACTTAAAACTAGTGTGAAGAGTGATACTATTATTACTATATTACTCAGTGTGAATTCATTTAAACAGTCCCTAAAATGCTGTTTTCCACTTCTTGTAATATATCACTCTCATTTTTACTTTCGGATTATTACCTAGTGCCTTTGCATAGACACCATTTTTCTCTCGTGCAGTGTTGCAGTGTTACAGTGAGAGGTTGGGCACACCAGTGGTGTGAGCTGTGTTTGCACCACTGAACTTCAGCTTTGATGTTTCTGCAACTTCTTTCWGCTCAGAGGAGCTTTCTGTGACTTTTTTTTTTTTTCCTGATAATTGTGTTAGCTGGCCATAGGTGACAGATTATGCAGGTCACAAAGGCACAAATACAGTGAAGATTGTTGAATCTAAACCAGAAGTTAAAGTCATGAGCAATAGTTTTACAAAGGACTCATGAATAAATGCCAAGATGATAAAAAATCACCGGTGGCCTGCTACATAAAAAAAAAAAAAAAAAAAGTATGAATTAACTCATTTTCTCACTTGCCTAAAGCTGTATATTGCTTCAGAAATTGCACTGTCCCTAAACTTGGGGTTTGAAACTTGAGAAGGGATTTATTTCAGAATGATGGGGGTATTTGAGAGCAGTTCCTGTGACTGTATTATACACAGGAGAACAARGATAGGTCAGGTGCCTGTCTGCCCTCACCCTGCGTGCAGGCGTTGGTCTCTGCCTGGTCCTCTGGATGCTCTTTGTCCCTGCTGTGTGGCAGGATTTGGCCTCCCCAGCATCTTTGGGTTCCTGAACGCTCCTCTGCCTTAGGCACGGTCATGAAGGAGCCTAGCAGGCCGCTCAGTGGCAGCTTGTGCAGAGGACGTTYGCAGTTCAAGGCAGTGGTGGCCTGCAGAAGTGGGTCCACCCTCGAGAGAGGGTGGAATGGGATGGGGCTTTGGGCCTTTCTAAAGAATCGCTTTTCCCTTAAATAAACAATTTCTGCATTCGCCAAGAAGGCCAACGGGATCCTGGGGTGCATTAAGAAAAGCGTCTCCAGCAGGTCGAGGGAAGTGATCATCCCCCTCTACTCAGCCCTGGTGAGGCCACATCTGGAGTACTGCRTCCAGTTCTGGGCTCCMCAGTACAAGAGGGATGTGGAGCTGCTGGAGAGAGTCCAGCGCAGGGCTACCARGATGATCAGRGGCCTGGAACATCTGCCMTATGARCAAAGGCTGAGAGAGCTGGGYCTGYTCAGCCTGGAGAAGAGGAGGCTGAGGGGGGACCTGATCAGCGTGTATAAATACCTCAAGGGAGGCAGTGARGAGGAGG